AGAATATTCAGCTCCCAACTTTAGCTCACTATGCTGGTTTCTACCCCAATGTTAGATTCTGAAACAGTCTTGTGAGAGTAAAAAATCCAGGATATAATATGGTCTGCTACTGCCTTTATCCAGGCTCAAAGAAAGGCATCTTATATGTGTGTGTCAAAAGGTTGAGGATTGGTTGGTAATCTTTACACAGGAGCCTACGTCTGCAAATGGGCTTATGTGGCTCTCTTTAATTACAAAGTAGACTAGGTATTAGCAATTAATTACCCTACTCAAGAAATTCCACTAGAGAGTCTTGTCCTTAACAGGATTACTGTTCCATGTAGGCCACTCTTCCCTCTGTGAATCCCAGCCCAAGTCTTGGTGGTGATTCCTCCTCCAGCCCCTTCATCCTTTCAATTTCCACACCTAGTGTCTACCAAAACCCCCCCCGAGCTTCTGCAGAGTGCCACTTTATTCCACGGAGGCGGGAAGCATGTGGATGGGAATGGGTGTTGTTCTAAATTAACCTCCTACACATGTTCCCTCATGTGCACAGAGCATTTGCATTTTAAGCAAATCTTTTCTATATTTTATTGGTCACAGTATAATTTTACCTGCAATACAAATAAAACAGTGATTACATTTTCTTTCTAGTAATTGGCTGTAGGAATCACATACTCTTATTAAACTCTTCCTGTCAGTTTATACTGCATCGTAATTTTAGTTTATCACAGTGCCTACGTGCAATGCTACCTGATACTCCCTCCTGGAAAAGAATTTTGTTCTGTTGTGCTTACTTTGCTCTTTTCTGTACAAACTCCCTTTTATATACTTTTATGATTTATTGGCATTATGAACCCTCTAGCCTCCTTTCCTGACCAGGCTCAAACACTTGGGAGTGATATGCGTTCTCCCCCTTTCTAGTTGACTCTTTCCTGGCTCCTTTACTCTTCCTTCTCCCCATCTCTTGCTTTCTTGTCACTTCTCCAATATGCTTTTTCCTCTTGCTCTCTCTTTGCCCAGCCTTATAGTACCCTCTAAGAAATGTGTTTTGCAGAAGGAAGGTCTCTGTACACTGTTACTACTTTCTTCTTTGGCTGTGTTCTTAGTTTTTGTGTCATTTCTGGGAACTCTGCTACAGTAACATTTCATGGAGGAAAGTTGAACACTAGTGAAAGGAGAGAGAAAGCTGGGGAAAGAAAGAGTGGAGGGAAGATGGAGAGGGGCTCAGAGAGGACCCCAAGCAAGTTAACATGAGGCATCTTGAGTAAACTCTACAAATAAACACACTTTTCACAGTGTTTTACTGTCTACAAAGCAGTTTTCATGAGTTACCCGATTATCTGGTAACAAATATAGGCATGCTTCTTAACATTTTGCAGATGAAGAGACTGGAGCTATAAATTAAGAATAATATAAACTGTGATGATGCAGCTTATAAAAGCAGAGTTAGGATTTGAGGCTTCTGACTTCAGGTCTCTTTCTTTTCCCACCATTCCACAATGCCAGGAAAATGGAGTTGAACTCAGGCAGAATTCAAGTCACCTTTCACAAGGCTATGTTTTCCATAGGTTCAAAAAAACCAAAAAATCCAGACTTATGCCCTAGTTTATCATGATTAATTTTTCTTGTGGTAAGTTTTGTTTGTTGTAGCAACAATAAATGAATTACTTTCCAAACTGGGAATATCCCTTTGTAGCCAATGAAGGAATGAGTACAAGTGTGGAGGAGTAAATCTGCATAAAGATAAATAGAACTTTAGAAAATTCTTGAGACATTGACAGAGCCTTGGACCTAATTTCTAAATGGGTAGAAAGCTCTCTTTTAGAACAGCTTCTCTGCAATCCTGTGTAGAAGTGGGAAGATGAACATGGAGACTATTCAAGGCAGGGGTGGTGGACTTAGTGGGTCATTTTCACTTTTTTCAGTTTCAAAATCTTACAGATTCTATTATTTTTGGCTCTTTCTGTGTCTTGGAGAACTGCTCTTTCTACCTTAAATCACCTCCAAAATCACCAGGGCAAACATTCCACACAAGAAGCTTATTTGAACTTCAGGTCTCTAGAAAACAGACTGCTGTGTCATTGCATTTGGAAAGCAATCATTTAAAGATAGTTTTCAGGCAGGTGAAAGACCAGCACAACAAACTGATAAAACTGCCTCTGTCATTTGATCTCCTGCAGCCATTCTGGAGAGAAGACATTCTTGTTAGAAACTTGAGCAAGAAGCTCTGGTCAGGAGACTTCTCTTTTATTAGGATCCTGCCCCACGTTAGAGGTTAAGTTACAACTCCCCTCAAAATTGCTCTGTAATAGGCTGCATTACATAGAAAATTCCAACAAAGCACTGGAATGTCTGAGTTAAGAGAACTCTTTGTAAATTAAGAAGAAAAATAAAGTTCAGCAGCATAATCCTATCTCTAAGCCAAATCTGGATAATATTAAAGGACTTCCAAATAACACCATTTAACTCTTTATTTGCGAGAATTATAAGAGTTTGCACTCTGAGCGATGTCCCATCCCCTGCTCCCCAAACCCCAATAGAAGCAAAGCAGCTAGCAACACTCTACCTCATAAACTTAGTATTTAAACTGTGCAAAGGCGAAGAAAAAAGGTGAGAATAAAAAAGGTGAAGTGGGAAGATGGCAAGGAAATGTCCCATTCTTAAACACCTTTTAAAAAAAGAACCGTAGTCCCAGCACTTTGGGAGGCCGAGGCAGGAAGATCACGAGGTCAAGAGATCGAGACCATCCTGGCCAACATGGTGAAACCCTGTCTCTACTAAAAATACAAAAATTAGCTGAGGCTGGTGGTGTGCACCTGTAGTCCCAGCTACTCGGGAGGCTGAGGCAGAAGAATCACTTGAACCCGGGAGGCGGAGGTTGCAGTGAGCCGAGATCATACCACTGCACTCCAGCTTGGTAACAGAGCAAGACTCCATCTAAAAAAAAGAACTGTAATGCCAAGATTTGCTCAAATAATTTCCTCAATTTCATGGGGACCCAGAGTCCATTGACCCTGACACCTTCCACTGCCTCTCATGGCCACTGTGTCCTCAATGCCCCTTCTTAGCCAGCTTCCATTTGCAGTCTTTGCATGCACCAACTTATTGGCCTCTCTCTCCTTTCAAAGTACAGTATGTGCCTGGCAGTATCCTAGATATGGTTAAAACCAACTCTCTGCCTAGTTCATGCTTAAAAGTGTTGGGGGAAAACATGCAACCATGCTGACTAGACTCACTTTAAGTTCACAATCATTCACGATTGTGGGCATCCTGTGGCCCTCCATGCTGCCTGGCTGTTCTTTTTTTTTTTTTTTTGAGGCAGAGTCTCGCTCTGTTGCCCAGGCTGGAGTGCCCTGGCATGATCTCTCTTGGCACACTGCTACCTCCTCCTCCCGGGTTCAAGTGATTCTCCTGTCTCAGCCTCCTGAGTAGCTGGAATTACAGGCACCTGCCACCATGCCTGGCTAATTTTTCTATTTTTAGTAAAGATGGGGTTTTGCCATGTTGGTCAGGCTGGTCTCCAACTTCTGACCTCAGGTAATCCACCTGCCTCGACCTCCCAAAGTACTGGGATTACAGGTGTGAGCTACTATGCCTGGCCACGCTGCCTGGCTGTTCTGTCACATTGCTCACGCCCCTAGATGGTTCGTCAAACCTGTTCCTCCCTTTTATGATCAGTGGATCACCTTGCTTAACGGTTTTCTTAAAAATTTCTATGTACTCATATTACCCCAATTCCCACAGGACTTATATCAGTTTAGACCTTGGAAGATGGCACCCAGCACTGCCTACATACTCCTACTCTAGTTGTCATTTACCTCAAGGGCAGCATATTTACTGAAGGTTAAAACAACAAGATAGTACTGTCCTAGGCATGTTCCCTGGCAGCAGTGTCCCTCTGCCTCATGTTGCTGTGCCTCTATTGCTTGAAACGTCAATAAGTGAATGCAAGCCTGTTTAACCCAGGGACCTGAGCATGTGTCTGCTGCCCACACTTCTGCTGAACTACAGTTCACATATCTCACTGGGACAGTCTGGGAGGATGCTAGCTGTACAGACTGCTTTTGCTTCTCACTGCTGTTACCCTATCGAATTGTCACCCAGAGACCTGCCCAGAGTTTGCAGGTGCATGTCCAGGGGTAAGGTGGGACCACACAGGTCAGCACTTCTGTAGGACTGTCCCTCACTGAGTCCTGCCCTGCTTTCTGCCACCTCCCCTGATGTCTGCCAGAGGAAGAGGCCATGCAAGAACTTAGGAAAATAAAGCAGTGGGCACATTCATAATGGCTACCATTTACCAAGTATCTGTTGTGTGCCAGGTGCCTTACACACATTCACTCACCTAATTCTAACAACTGCATTCCAAGGTGTCATTATTCTCATTTTATAAATGAGAAAATCGAGGCTTAGATTACGTAATATGCAGAAGCCTCACTGCTAATAAAGGGTAGAGCCTGCATCCGGACCCAAGTCTACCTGAGTTCAAAGCCTATGTTCTTTTCACGACACTACTGCCTATTCATTTATGTCAAAATGAGAGCTTAGAGTTCACTGGAGACCTTCAGTATGGGTCTCCAGCTTTCTTAGAATGTTGTGTGCTACCCAAATATTTTATTTTCTTCGTTAAGTGCAACAATTTGTATTAACACATGCAATTATATAAAATCAGAGCATGAACATGACCTGATAAACTTTGTATTTATTTTCATTTTGACTTGGACATCTAATAGGCATCTGAAACTTAACACATACAAAACCAAATTCCTGAAGACCATCTCCCTGCTAACTGTAGCTCATGTAGTCTTCCCCAGCTTAATAAATGGCAACTCCATTATTCTAATTTCCCTGGCAAAAAAACCTTGGTGCCATCTTTAATTCTCTTTCTGTCATAGAACATCAGAAAATCTTGAGGACTCTACCTTTAAAATATATTAGAATATATTTTCTATTGCTGTTACTACCCTGCTCCAAGCTTCATTTTCTATTGGCCTGGATGATGGCAGTAACTTGTTTCCTACCTTTTTGTCTCCTGACAGCCTTCACTCAACATTATGTTCCAGAGTAAGCCTTGAAGACGGAAGTCAGCCTTCCCCACTCCCACGGCTTCATACGACTAGCCTAAAAAAGAAAGATAGAAGTCAGGTCATATCGTCCTTCTGCTCAATATCATGGATGGGCTTCTCATATCACTCCAAATAAAATGTAAAGTCCTTAAAAAGCTTATAAGGCTATATATCATCTAACCCCTCCTTTGCTATCTGAATTACTTCTACTTCTCTCCACCAATCTCACTCTGTTCACACTGGTTTCCTTGTTTTCATAAACATATTATGACTACTTCTGCCTCAGGACATTGTGTTTGCTGTTCACCCTGCCAGGAGATCTCTTCTAGATACCCACATGGCTTCTCCCTCACTTCCCTTCTATCTCCACTCAACTATCGCTTTATCAGTGAGGACATCCCTTTAATAACTGTGGTAGTTAGTGTCCAAAAATGGCCCCCAAATGAGCCACATCTTCCAATATTCTCAGCCTCACAGAGTCCTCTCCCCTTGAATCCAGTGGTCCCTGTGACTTGTTTTGACCAACAGAATGTGGTGGCGGTGATGCCTGCCTGACTTCCAAGTCTACATCATAAGAAGCCTTGCAGTTTTTGCCTGGATTTTTTGGAATACTTGCTTCAGGAGAAGCCACCAGCATGGGAGAAGCCTGACTACTCAATTCCACCATGCTGTGAGAAAGCCCAAGACAGCCACGTAGAAAGGTCATGTGCAGACAGAGTAATGCCTGGCCAGACCCTGGTTGTTCCAACCTTCCCATCTGAGGGGCCAGCCATGTGAATGAAAAAGCCGTTTGGAATGTCCAGCCCATTTAATTACTCAGATAACTCTGACACCATTTGCCATATGACCGCAACTGTTTAAAGACCTCAGGGAACCTACAAGATCCTACATTTTTTTTCTTACAATTTTTTTTTTTTTTTTTAAATTTTAGAGACAGGGTCTCACTCTGTCACCCAGGCTGGAGTGCAGTGGCACAGTCATAGTTCACTGTAAACTCAAACTCTGGGTTCAAGCAATCTTCCTGCCTCAGCCTCCTGACTAGCTGAGACTATTAGTGCATGCCACCACACCCAGCTAATATTTTTTGACCAATAGGGTTCAGGGTGTTTTGTTGTGTGGCAATGGATATCTGAAACAGAGATCAATATATTACACTCCTTCCCGCATATATAATGACACTCCATATCCTCCTTAACTTGTTGTATTTTTCTCTTGTTGTATTTATCACCTGGCTTACTGTGTATCTACCTATTTGTTATTGTCTCCCTGTCCCCTCTGGAACACAAACTCTGGGAAGGCAGAGACTTTGTCTTATTCATTACTGTATCTCGAGTGCCTGGAATAATGTCTAAGACAGGCCTTCAATACATTTTGTTAAATGAATGCATATATTTAATTTAATTTAGTTTAATTAGATAAGTTTACTTTTTGTAAACATAACAAGTCCATAAAAAGACTGAAATTAATTTAAATTGCCCATGCCGACAGGCTTCCCTCTTATGGACACAATATCTAGAGCTGTCTAAAATACTGCAATCTTTGCCTTTCCACTGAAGCATACCTTCCAAGGGGGAAGGAGTAAGATTCTGCTCCTTTAATACATACTGACCCCAGGAGAAAGGGACTAGACATGTCTGGACTGAATGTCTGTGTGCCTTGCAAATTCATATGTTGAAATCCTAACCCCCAATATGATGGTATTAAGAAGTGAGACCTTCGGAAGTGATTAGGTCATGAGGGTGAAGCCTTCAGGAATGGGATTAGTGCCCTTATAAAAGAGACTTCAGAGAATTCACTAGCTCTCTTTCTGCCGTGTATGGAAGATGGCCATCTATGAACCGGGAAGCAGGCCCTCAACAGACATCATATCTTCCAGCACTTTCATCTTAAGACTTCCTAGCCTCTAGATCTGCAAGAAATAAACGTTTGCTATTTAAGTCACCTAGTCTATGCTATTCTGGTATAGTAGACTGAACTAAGACAAGAAAAAAAAAAATGGTGTCAGGCAGATTCCAGGAGAACATCCCTTAAACATAACCCAAATGGAGATGGCTATCAGAATCATCAAACCCTGTTGACGAGCTCTTGTCAGTAGATCTGTGCTACACAGTGCCACCTCTCCCTTAACTCACTTCTGGAAGGACTCAATAATTCCTCCTTATTCCACAAGCACTTCTTGAATGCCTACTCACTCTCTTATGATAAAATATCCATTCTCCCCTTTCACAAAATTAGTCAGAATAAAGAAAAACCATTGGGTTGAAAAACTTTGAATAGAATGTTTAAAGTGATTTAGAAGTTTGGACACAATAATTTTGCTTGCGTTAAAATAGTTCAAGATCTCATCTCAACCACTTTGTGGGAAAATTGCTAGCATAGAGATGTTTCAGCTGTTAGCTTGGTTGACGTTTTTGTTTTGGCACTTCTGGAAAACAGAGGAAGGGGCTGAAGCTCATATATTCTTGGAGAAATAAGGCAAACAGCACAGCTCAGGGATGGGCTGGTGATGTGGCATTCTGTGTCAAGTAAGGAACACCCTGCCATCTCCTGGGCCTCAGCTTCAGATTTCTGGACAGCACCATCTCAGGCAAGAATACATATTTTCCCAGGAACAAGCAAGAAGACTGCCCAATCCATTTAGATTCATATGGAAAGAAGAGAGACACTGCCTCAACCTCAAAAGCAACAAAGCAGGCAGAGACGAAGTACAAGCTCAGAAACTCACAATAATTGCTTGACTAACCAGAATACCTAGTTAGCTTCTCTGCTGGAAATATCTGCAGTTAGGTTTTCTCAAAGTGCTCTTAATGACACAGATAAGCTACAAGTTTTACTTTTTGTAAAGGGCCCAGTTGGGTAATTTTTCCAGAACGAAGGGTGAATACAATGAATAGTCAAGTTTTTACCTTTCTCTAGACTGAAAAATTCTAGCTTTAAAATAATAGCTTGGCCGGGCGCGGTGGCTCAAGCCTGTAATCCCAGCACTTTGGGAGGCCGAGACGGGCGGATCACGAGGTCAGGAGATCGAGACCATCCTGGCTAACACGGTGAAACCCCGTCTCTACTAAAAAATACAAAAAACTAGCCGGGCGAGGTGGTGGACGCCTGTAGTCCCAGCTACTCGGGAGGCTGAGGCAGGAGAATGGCGTGAACCCGGGAGGCGGAGCTTGCAGTGAGCTGAGATCTGGCCACTGCACTCCAGTCTGGGCGACAGAGTGAGACTCCGTCTCAAAAAAAAAGAAAAAAAAAAAATAATAATAATAATAATAGCTTTTCTATATTATTTCAGTACCCTGCCCTCCCCGCTCCTTTAAAAAAATAAATCTTACAGGTTAAGTTTGGGCATCTGGTTGAAAAAACCCCATTTAAAAGATTAGAAAATTGAGAGTTAGAGAGTCTTAAGATCAGCCAGTACATGAGCCAAATCTTCAGATACAAAATTCACGTGTTCTCCATGGTGGAACACTGTAAAATTAAACTACCATACACTTACAAAGCCTTTTTTTTTTTTTTTTTTTTTTTTTTTTTTTTTAAGCCAGAGTCCTGCTGTTTCGCCCAGGTTAGATAGTGGCACGATCTTGGCTCACTGCAACCTCTGCCTCCTGAGTTCAAGAGATTTTCTTGCCTCAGCCTCCCGAGTAGCTGGGATTACAGGTGCAAGCCACCACTTTCCCAGCTAATTTTTGTATTTTTAGTAGAGACAGGGTTTCACCATGTTGCCTAGGCTGGTCTCGAACTCCTGACCTCAGGTGATCCACCCGACTGAGCCTCCCAAAGTGCTGGGATTACAGGTGTGAGCCACTGTGCCTTGCCTCACAAAGCTTTGAAAAGCATTCCTTAATAAGGCATCAAGGATGAACATGTCCTTGTGTATTTTTTTTTCCGTGAAAATGAAACTAGTCTCAAATCTCCACGCAACTGTAGCTGGAGAAATAAATATTGATCCAGTTTCCTCCTATAATTCTGTTTTATTTCATAGGAGCTTAGAGTTAGAGGCAAACTTCAGACATTATTTAGTCCTAATCCATCACAAATTATAAGAAAAAACTCAAAATAGCTTTATTTAAAACAAAAGTATCTTCAGATATAATGCTATTTTCACACACGATTGATACATTTATTAGGATGAAAATCATATTAGAATAAAATATCTTTGAGGCTGCAACTGGTCCTTTTTATGTGAATAGTAAAATTAAAGGTTTAAAATATATGCTAAGATGAAGATGAAAAATATTATTTTAGGAAGACTGGAAAATACAATGAAAGTTTGGCTTTCATACAAGGTTTGGATTTGTTTTTTAGATTCTTCCCAGTAATTAGATTTAGGGTTTAGAGTATCTCATGTGACTCTCCTATAAAAACAGACATTTTAACCAAGCACTGACATGCAAAATAAAAACAAAAAACTTTTTCCTTCAGGGACTAGCCCAGCTATAGTTGGAAGTTCAGTAATGCAAAAATACACATACATAGTAATTAAATCTAGCTTCCAACAAACTTAAAGTTAAATTTTAATGACTTTTTATGGCTGGGTAATAAATTATATGTAAATGAGTCATGGATGGAGACCTTAGTATATATAAAATGTCAAAAACCAGTACTGATTGATATATTGAAAAGAAAAGAGGCCTTGAAAATCTGTGTTCTAGATCTAACTCAGCCACAATAGCTCCTTAACCAAATCATTCAACTGTTTTGGGCTTCGGTTTCCTCATTTGTAAAATATGATAGTTACATTTGGTAATTATAATTAATGTTTGTGTGGTGTTTATGTCTCTAAAGCTCTTTCCTGTGTATGATCTGACTTCACATATAATTCTTTGAAGTAAGAAGAACAGATAATGTTAATTTTAGTATACAGATGAAGAAACGGCCTCATAAAGGCTAAAATATATGATCAAAGGCTGTACACAGTTTGTAAATGGATTCAGACTCAGATGTTCAGACACAATTTTGTGTAGGTAGACAGTATACCTACCACCTCTAAAAGTCTGATATAATAGAGTTGTGTTTAGTCATTACTCAATTATAACTAGACTTTTAAAGTACCTTAAA